TTTTTTTATAAAATTTAAAATATAAAAAGGTTTAATGAAAGGGTAAAAATTTATTTTAACCCCCGAACTTCATATAAAATTTTAATTATAGATTTTTTTTATAAATCTAAAATAGTTTAAGGATAAATTTATAATTTAACATTCGTAGAATTTTTATTATTCAATGACAGAATAATGATATTTTTTAAAGAAAAAAAATTTAAGAGAATTTTAGTCCAAAACGCCGGTAATCCAATAATACCTAAGGAAATGGAGGTAATGACATTCCCGGTAATATACCCCAAAAATCCACTATTGGTAATTTAAGATTACCGAGAATGACATTCCCAGTTAACTAAACGGGGAAATGTGGATTTCATTCTCATGAGAATCTCATATTCCCCCAACCAAACACACCCTAAGGTGGCGTTTGGTTGGATGGAATCCCTTGGAATTTGGGGAATTAGAATCCAATTCCACCACTTTCCCATGTTTGGTTCAAGTTTTCCAAGGAAATTGGAATCCCTATAGCTTCAACTTTCCATCAAATGAGAGAAAGTGAAAATGGATGGAATTCAATTCCCTTGTTGGAGTGAATTGAAATTTGACCTACTACCCTCATCAATCTTTTGTTAACTTATTCATATATTGAATAAAAATATTTTTTTATTATTTTGGGTTGGGTCGGATTTCTAATTCATATATTCGGGTCGGGTCGGGTCGGGTGAAACTTTATTTTGGTCGGGTCGGGTCAGTTTTTTTAAGTGTGATATCCGGGTTGGGTCGAGTTCGGGTTTAGGGTGAAAATACCCGACCCGAAAATATATATAATTTTACCTTATATATTTAGGAATAATTACAATAATACCTCTCTTTATATATATATTTTTTTAATTAAGTCGCTGTTTTTATTGAATAAAAATATTTTTTTATTATTTCGGGTAAGGTTTCTAATTCATATATTCAAGTCGGGTCTGGTGAAACTTTATTTTGTTTGGGTCGGTTCGGGTTTTTTAAGTGTGATATTCGGGTCGAGTCGGGTCGGGTTTTTTTAAGTGTGGTATTCGGGTCGGGTCGGGTTTTTTTAAGTGTGATATTTGGGTCGGGTCGGGTTCGGGTTTAGGGTGAAAAAAATTAGACCGGCCCGAAAAAAATATATAATTTTATCTTATATATTTAGGAATAATTACAATAATACCCCTCTCTATATAAGTTTTTTCAATTCAGTCAATGTTTTTATTGAATAAAAATAATTTTTTTATTATTTTGTGTCGTGTCGGGTCGGTTTCTAATTCATATATTGAATAAAATAGTTTTTGGTATATTTTTTGGTAACTAATTAACATACTCCGATTGGAATGTATCGAAATATTGCTCTATCTTTTGGTAACTTATTAACATATTTTGATTGCGATGATTTTAACTTATGATATTTATTAGCATGATTTTTATAATTTATTAAAATGAATAATCAATCAATAAAATGAAAATTTAATATTTTTTAATTTTTTATAATATATTACTGCATGTAAGTTGTAAACCAAACTAAAATAAAGTAAAAAAACAAGAAGAGTAATTCTGTCATTTTACATTAATGAAATCAAATTCATCTGACATGTCTGCGAACCAAACAAAATATGAAATTGGATTCCAATTCCATTTCTTGCCAACCAAACAGAATATGAAATTAGATTCTAATTCTGACAGATTCCAATTCCTTCACAGATTTCAATTCCCTCATAAACATTTCAGTGACCAAACGTCACCTACCTAAGTGGATGGTGAAACAAGGTCGCAGCATATCCGCAATTCCATTCATGGTTTCAACGGAGGAGTTGGGGCAGTGGATTATTGGACACATGGCTTCACTTCCTAATTTTGGTTTTAACGAGCTTCACACTTAGTTTTCTAAGTTATAATTTGTTCCATCTTCTAGAGTTGTTTCTTTCCATAAAAAAAGATAAATTATACTTCTGACTATTTAATTATTGTATATTTTTAATATAATTATGGTATATTTTTAATATAATTATTGATGTTTTAATTTTATTTAATTAGACTATTTAATTATTTAAGCATATCAATTAAGTCACATATCACTAACATTTAATGGTGTGTTGACATGACAGTTAATTTTCTTTTGTATATTTATACATTTAACTTCCGTTACTTACACATTTAATTAATTTGTCACTAACATTTAATTTTTTTTTAAAAAAGTTTGGTTTTGTTAATATTTTTTAAAAAGTTCAGTTAATGCTTAAATAAAAAAAATTAATGGTAATTCAGTTCGGTCGATAGTCGAATTAACCGTTTGAACACCCCTAGTTATTGTAGTAATGAAATGCTGACATGACAAGTTAACCCAACTGACTTAGCACTTTTTACCATACGAGCGGGGTACACTTTGAATGTCCGTTTGACTCTTCTAATTAGAGATTAAATTTATTTAATTGAATTAAATTTATGATTAAATTGGCATAATATATAAATATTAAGGACTAAATATATAATTATACGATTTTTTTAACAGTTACGTCACTCCTTGAAATTTTAACTACAAGTAACTTGATTGGCACACTTAAATATTTAAGTGGTTTGATTGACAAAATTTCAAAAATGGTGGTCAAAATGAAAAGCAACAATAGTTAGGTGTCATACATATAGTTTACCCTAGATTTAATTGCATCAATCGATTGATAATTAAAATATAATATAAAATATGATATTAGAAGAAGAAAAAGCTTACCCAAAACTATTAGCTAATTTTTTGAGATGTGACTATTTTTTTACCCCAGCAGATGACTTTGATAAAGCCATATTCATTGAAGAACTATTTTATCAAACATTAAAAATTTTTGATTATTTTCTTAAATAAATTTTGTGAATCCCTAATACTTTAACTTTTTTTTCAAGATTTAGCTAAATAAGTCAAGTCTCCCATTTGTAAAAAAAATTTATCATTTTTCCTTATACGAGAATTTACCCATTATAAAAAGTAGATGATTTTTTATATTAAGCCACACCTTTTAAATGGTTCTGTCCCATTGGTCCCCCACCTTTTCTTGTTGAACACGTTTAGTACGAATAAGGTAAGTCTGGTCAAATATACACACCTATGTTTATGTGAGACAAAGAACATAAATAGAAAATGACTTGAAAAAATCATGAATATGATATGAACACCCATTTAACTAAAAACTAAAGGCACTGCAAGCCTGCAACTGTGGGATAGAGGTCACTGCTTCCAAAGTAGTTGAAACTTACGACTAATTTCCCAAAAGCTTTTGACAATTTTATTCAAATATCACCCAAAATAATAAAAATTCCACTATACACCTTTTTTTAAATATGTATCAAAATAGCACATGTTATGGCAAAACAAGAAGGTGTAAAATGCGTCATGCTGATGTGGATAAAAGGCGCATTTCAAGGGAATGAACTTTTTAAGGATTTTGTTAATTTAGCATGCCATGACCGAATGCATGTTTCAAGGGATACACATTCCATTTGTATGGAAAAATTTTGGGTTTTTATAGTAATGAATAATAGTTTTAATAACTTATTTTTAAAAAAATAATAATTTAAGTTTCTTTTGAAAATAAAAGTAATATATTTGATATTGAGAGAAATTTTTAGATATCAACACAATGTATAGTAAAATTTTTCCATGGATACCGTAATGAGAAATAATTTAATTAATTGACAAAAGATTTTTTCCCTTTGAAAATGAAAGAAATATATTGATATTTAGTGTGTGAATTGAAAAAAAAATATTATTATTTATATGATAGATTCTTCTAAAACCATTTAAAATTTAAATTTGTTAAAGGTGTATTCAAAATAATGTGTCTTTTAAAAATATGGTTAATTAAATATATATTTATTTTATAAGATATACAAATATTATTTTAAGAAATGATCGGAAATACATATTATTTTGTTAATTGATTTTTTTAGAAAAATATATTTGAATAGTTTAATCATGGAATATAAGGTAAAAATTCAGATAAATTTAATATTTATATTATTACCACATAAATTTATAATAAGAGAACTTATCATTGGTTTTTGGTTCAATTCAAATGAATTTAATATCTAGAATCTAGATTGTTACCAAATAAATGTGATTGGTTCTCTGATTATAATTTATTTAGTAACAATCTAAATATTAAATTCATCTGAATTTTTACCTTGTATTCTATGATTAAACTATTCAAATATTTTTTTAAATCAATATCAAAATAATATATATTTTAGATTATTTCTTAAAATAATATTTGTATACCTTATTAAATAAATATATATTTAATCAACTATATTTTTAATCAACTATTTCTTAAAATAATATTTATATACCTTATAAATAAATATACCTTTAACGAACTTAAATTTTGCTTGGTTTTAGAAAAATATATCATATCAAAAATAATATTTTTTTCAATATATACACTAAATATCTATATATTTCTTTTATTTTACATTATGACATTCCTACAAAATTTTTGACTAAATTCATTATGTTGATATCTAAAATTTCTCCCATATTAAAGTACGTACAACTTTTATTTCCAAATTCAATTTAAATTATTATTCTTTAAAAATAAATTATTAAATCTATTATTCATTATCGTATTTAAAAATTCAATTTGTTTCCATATAAAGGGAAGAAATCAGTAAAATCCCTGAAATGTTCGCTCTATGCCTTTCATCCACATCAACACGGTGTATTTCACAAAATGTGTCTTTCTCTTATTTGTTAGAAAGGGTGTCAGTTTAGTACATACTTGAAAAATGATGCTATAATGGTATTTTTTTTAGTGAAATTCGAATAAAATTGCCGCATAAAACGCGACCCATAAAAGAACTAAAAGAATTAAAAGAAAAAGGTGGGGAAAAGTTTATGAAGCTTGCAGGAAAAGTACAAGCAAAATACCCCCGTCCCCAGCCTTTGGTCTTTTTAACTATATAACACAACTTACCCAAAGAAGATTGCATTAAAACCCCATAGAGTGTCCTGAAAGTCGGGGGAGAAAAGTATGATGATCGATTCATGGGCTCAAATTGGATCAACCATTGCTGGTTTGATGTTTACTTTAGCTACATTACAGCAATTCTTCCCCCACCAACTTAGAGTTTCTTTGCAACAGTTTGTCTTCGCCTCACTTCAACGGTTCTCTTTTGTTCAAAAGTTGTGTGATCATTTTGTTAGCTTTTTCTCACCTTATATTCAAATCACGTTCCCTGAATACTCTGGTTTTTGGAGCAATCAAGCCTTCTCCGCCATCGAAACATACGTCGGAGCTTTATCCACCACCAAGGCCTCACTGCTCAAAGGTAGTCTCATCAAAAACAGCAAAGCTCTTGTTCTTACAAGGGATGACCTTAAGGTGTCAGATGAGTTTGATGGGGTTAAGGTTTGGTGGATTCTGGACCCTTCTCCTTCTACAAGTTCTTCAGAGGACAAGTACTTTCAGCTCATCTTCCATCGACAGCATCGTGATTTGGTCACCGGGCCATTCTTGGATCATGTTCTTGAACAAGGGAAGGCCATTAAGGCAAGGAACAAGCAGAGGAGGCTTTATACGAACAATCCTAGTGATAACTGGAGTTCTTACAAGAAGAACTTGTGGAGTGACATTGCCTTTGAGAACCCTGCTACATTTCAAACAATAGCAATGGACCCCAAGAAAAAGGAGGAAATCATCAACGTCCTGATGAGTTTTAGTAAAGCCAAAGAGTATTATATGAAGCTCGGGAAGCCATGGAAACGAGGGTATCTCCTTTACGGTCCGCCGGGAACCGGTAAGTCTACTATGATTGCTGCAATGGCTAACCTCTTGAACTATGATATCTATGATCTAGAGCTGACTACTGTTAAAAACAATACGGAGCTTAGGAAGCTATTGACTGAAACATCGAGTAAGTCCATAATTGTGATCGAGGACATTGATTGTTCATTAGATGTAACTGGTGAAAGGAAGAAAGAAAGATCAAAAACCAATGAGAAAGATCAGAAGAGCCCCGTAAATGAAAACACCAGTAAAGTTACACTTTCGGGGCTTTTGAATTTCATTGATGGGACTTGGTCAGCTTGTGGAACTGGGAGGATCTTTGTGTTCACTACTAATCATATTAACAAACTTGATCCGGCTCTAATCCGACGAGGCCGAATGGATATGCACATTGAGCTTTCATATTGCAGCTTTGAAGCATTCAAGATGTTGGCCAAGAACTATTTGGATCTTGATTCACACGAATTGTTTGAAAAGATTGGGATTTTGTTTAAGGAAACAGAGATGACTCCGGCTGATGTTGCGGAGAACTTGATGCCGAAACGTGAGAAGAAAGACCCAGATTCTTGTTTGGAGAGCCTCATTGAAGCTCTTTCTGATGCCAAAGAAAAGGCAAAGTCGAAAACTGAAAAGGAAAAAACAACCAAAATCAAGGAAGAAAGAGGCAAGAAATTTTATGCTAGTTTAATTAAGAAAAGATGGCTGTTCCAGGCTTAGTTGTTCATTACTCTAATCTTAGATTACATTGTTAAATTTCTGGCTAGCTATTGCCTTTAACTGCACTTCAACCACAAGTCATTTTAGTATATTACTCGTGGGTTTCTAATGAATATATTAACTCCAATCTTTAATTTTTATTTGTGTTTTATAAGGAATAAGATTGATATAAAATAAATCATTAACATTGACCCAAAAAATAGATAGTACGAAACAGAAAATGTTTAGTTATACTTGAGAAATAAATTCATCTTAATTAGTGTCATTATATATGGGTAAAGTTAATATGATTCTTTAAAATTCGTGTACCCAAGTAGGGGTAAGCTGATACTATACTTTTCAGAAAAAGAAATGATCGAAAAATATGACCATAAAATTCCCCCCCTCTTAGCATCCATTGCATACACTGCTCCTTCCCCGTATGTGGAACCACCAAAAAGTACCCCATTAGCCACTGTCACGGGCCCACTGGCTGTACCGTTCTTAGGGTCGCCTGTTGACCAAAGGATTTGTCCATTTTTAGCATCCATTGCCACCCATCCACCGGCAGTAGTGTTCCTTGTAGATGGTTTCAGGGTGAAATTTCTGGCGTGGGAGTTTGCTATGTCGGTGTAAACCCTCTTTTCATCTGTGGCGGCGCCCCATGTTCCGCCTCCGCCGAGACCACCAGGTCCAGCTTCCTACATCACCGATTAATGACTACTTTAAGCATTGTTTTCACCACTTGATGAAGAAGGGGTTCAGATAACTTACAGTAGACCATATACTATTGCCATCATCACGATCCAAAGCCCATGCAAATCCCTTTTTTTGGACTGCAACAACAATGTCTTCTTAGTTCCATTCACGACTATGCTTAGCATCATCGGTGCTTAACTGAAATCAGCATCAAGGGGGACAATCGGGAACGGAAAGATTATTACAGGCAAAAAACCAAACATCATACCCCCGAGCTGATGGAACCACTAGATGTTTCCAGTGTCCATATCAAGGGCCAGGAATGAATCTGAGTGGTTGTCGGGCTCAACACACTTATCCGTATGAGTAGAACTTGGGTTTGATCGTTTTGTCTCTCTTGGTAATCGGTTATGTTTTGGGGTGCCGAGTTGAGATTCCCGGTGGCAATGTAGACGAGGTTTCTATCGACATCGATCGGTGGACTGCTGCCCCAAATGGCAGCACCCGCGTATTCGCCACGGTTGCCGAAATTGTCGGGTAACATGAAGGTTTGCCACAAGATTTTCCCGTTTTTGCGTTAGTTTGACCAAGCTTCCACGAAAGATGCAACATTCTTCGACGCTTAGCTCTTCTTCCCGTGAAGATATGCCCACGTAGAAATTCCTGAGTTTGAATCAAATGAATGAGACATTAGATTACACATCGGTTTCATTATATATACGCATGACTGTTGATTTTGATCCCACATCTTAAGAGAATGAATTTATTATACAAGAGCTGCATTAATGAGTTCCAAGTCCTTTTATATGTTTCAATTTAGTAAACAAAATTCTAAAAGGTTAGACTTATTCAAGAGAAAAGGATCAATTCTATTAAAATACTTTAAAAAAAAATCAAAAACAGGAAATTTCGACTTTTGTAAATCGATTTTTAACTAAATTGAAAAGCGTCTTTAACTTGAAAAATTACATGTTTTACGTTACTTTTAATCCTTAAAAACACTCTTTGACTTGGAAAACACTTCTTTAAAAAAACATTACAGAACATCACCTCATTTTTTCCACCTATTATTTGTGTTGTGTCTAGCGTATCAAATAACAATGATTCATCTTGAAAATTGAATGGAAGAAGTTAATAAAATAAAGTGACTAACTCATTGTAGTAAGTTCCAGACATGGTGATGGTACCAGCTGGGTTTGCATCGAGCAGGGTTGACCAAACAAGCTCCCCATTGGATTGCTTCACTGCAACAACAGAAGCCGGTCCACTGATCCCAATGATCAGCAAATCATCAGCAATGGTCGGCCGAGCAATCATAAATTAAATTTAGAAATGTATTCAAAAAAAAATCCGTTAAAACTCGAATTTAAAATCTCTAGGAATAATAATCATTCATTTAATCACTAAGGTAATTTGATAGGTGCCTACTCAAATTTTTTTGAAAATCTATGCAACATATATTTTTAATAAAAAAATAATGTTTAGACATTTTAGAGGTATTGTACGAACCGAGCGACCTCAGTAGTTAAGAAATTGTTGTTATTCCATGAGGCTCCGGGTTCGAGCACCAGAAATGCCAGAAGTGTGAGCGTTCAATGTCAAATGATTGAGAGTTTATCTTTGAATAGATACTCAATTGTACTTATCTCAGATTAATAAAAGAGAGAGACATTACAGAGATATTTTAATTTTTCATGCACATATATGACTCTCGAATCATTTAATTTTGGTTCTTAAATTATATTTCTAAAACAGATTTTTGAATATTTTTTAAAAGTATAATTTTATAGGTGTTAGTTATATACCTAATATAAAATCGATGACAATTTCGTCTTTCAAAACACTAGCGATTTTCAAAAAGTATCTTAAATCTAAAAACAGTTTAAACGCTACTTTGTTCTTTATGTTAGAATAAATAATTTTATTTTGTTTTCCCAAGCATCAGCGGGATATTAGAGATAAGAAAACAGAGAAAGGACACAACCACATCTGTCCACGCACAAAAAAACCGATTAAATCCAACCCTTCAAGAATAAATAAAAATAAATAATAGCCATAGCCAACAACTCAAAGCATAGATACCAGAACTCGAAATTTCCCGGAAACATCATTCATTAAATTATTTAAACAACCTCAGTCAAGGTAATAATACATTTTAATCAATCTTAACACAACAGTTTAACCCAAAAATATAATATGGACTCTATTCTTTAACAGAAAATGTCTGGAAACAAACCAGCTAAACCACTCCTATGATAATGCGGATTGATAAACCGAGCGTAGGAATTAAAATTTACAGCTGATTACATAAAACGCAATCCGATTAATTATTCGTAACCGACACCCGGATCATCTAAAATATGAAGACAACACTGTCATGAACCCTAGACTTCTGGTTTTGAGCCACACATTCAGAGATCCACATCAGGTTCCTGATCTCCTGCTCTCTCAATCTCATGTATGCAAAGAAAACCCCGTAGTGGAACTGCACGATCATCATCCAAGAAAAGCATATCAGAGAAGATCTGGTACGTTGTTTAACAGACGAAGAAAATTGGGATAAAAATGAAACAAAAGCAAGCATATGCCGCCGTTGTGCCTTCCTCATTTGTTGTTATTAACAAAAGATAATTGATGCCTGAGAAATTAAGTATAAACCTGTTGCTCAAAAGCTAAGCAAAGCCTTTTCACTTCCTCCTCGTAAAACGCCTTGTCAAGCATTTGGCTCTCTCCATAAGATAATTTAGAGAAAATTGATTGGTAGGGAGGATATTTTTCCATCGCACCACGGACCTAGAAAGCAAAAAAAGCAGAAGATAAGAACTCGAAGTACCTTCATCCAAGCAAGCATAGCATATGAAACAAACCTGGTCAATATCCTCACAGACAGCAAGTTCCTCATGGCCATACGGATAACTGTTTAACATTAAGTAATACTTTCAAAGATAACAAACACAGATGAATCTATTACCCAACCTAAAATAGCATAATCAGGCCCGAGAGAAAGTGCTTACAGCAGACCAAAATTTGAGTATAATTTCCTCCGATCATCACGAGTAAGTTCAGTGCCAATGCTGCAAAAAATTAAACCATACCAAACATGTTTATTAGAAAATACATGATAGGAAAGAATCAAGAGTTAAACTAGAAAAGTAAAAGAAACAATCCCTTAACATAACTAAAAGTACCTGTTAATGGTAATGTTTACAGCCCTTCTGTCAGCCTCAAAGGCAAGGAGATCAGACATGATCTCTGCTGTTGCACCACCCAGTTTCTATAAGGAAAAAATGTTTAAATTAACAAGTAGGGACTGAAAACAACATATTCCATATGCAAAAAGAAAAGCCACCTTTCTTCTGTATTAGAACCTTACTTGGCAAAATTTGTAGAAGTCTTCAAGGTACGCTTTGTAGAGTGTGTTCCTCATAATTTCAATGTTCATGTCATCAAGATCCTGGAGAAAATCCAAGATGAATGAACCCAAAATCACAGGTTTAAAAAATTACATCATCACACAAACAACACTCTAGCACAGCTACTAACAATGTGACATGCATTCTTATACAGAGAGAATTACAGACAGGTAATCACTAAAAAGAGACAATTAACACGAAGAAACACTATCAGGAAAGTTGTTAGAACCATGCACCTCAGAAGTAATACACTCAGAGAAATATGGAGCAAGTGGAGTGTCAACAAGAACCAATCTGTAGAGTTCACGCATATTCTGAGCAACAGCCAGCGTTGCAATGCTGAAGACGCAAAACAGGAAAGTAAGCATATGTATCATGTGAGGTGAGATAATAACCTGATCTCTATGTAGGGGTTAGATTACCTGTCAAACATGCCCAAAGGATGGCACTTCTCCAGAAGCTCCTGAACATCTCTCTCATGCAAGGTTCCAGTAACAATCAGGACAACATTGTCGATCATGTGACCATACCTAAATGGAACAATCAAAACATTAGGTTTTCTTAGGCTTTCGCTAAATCCGCAACAACCTATTAATCAATCTGTATAACTTCACCATCTTAACAGACAGCTTTCTGAATATCACTGAGACAACTCAAAAACGCTCAACCAAAGTCAGGTACCTTACAACTAGAGCTTAAGATTGATTAACCAAATGATGGAATGAGGGGAAAATCAACCCTTCTATGGAAATATAAGATTAAAAAACTGCATTAGCAGTAAAAGGATGTACACAATTCACACCACCACATTCAAATCCACCAGTACTCAGATGAGTGAACAAGCTGAACACCGTTAATATTCAATTAAATAAACCAAGATCATGAGATGTGAAATAAATCAAAGCCTTGGCTATATCTAAGAGAAGGATAATCGAATATCTCTCATGCAATTCAAAGAAGGGGGGGGGAGGACAAATCTTTACATACGTGATATACTCTAAGAAGGTGGACAACGGCTCCGTAGCTTGGCATAACATATGCTTATACTCATCAACAAGTTTAAGAGTACATTTCTCCACAATGGTAGTGGTATGCAATGGTGAAGGTTCTGCAAAGGATCAACAAGTTTTAGAATCAAATTATAAAGAGATCCATAGTTCAAAAATGTGAATAAGATGTACTTTAAATTAACTCCACGAAGTTGTAATTAATATCAATTTCAACATAATTCAAACGAAAATCAGTAAATTATCTTAGAAGATTTGAAATTGAGAATTAAAGATCACGAAAGAAACGTACCGTTTTGGAGATAAGGGCCGTACTCGGTGGCGGAGATGCATCTTGATATCATCAAGGGTTTCGCATTGGCAAAGATTATTGTAATCAGCGGCGGTTAAGAGTCCGGCCCTGTGACCTCTCACGATCGCTTCCAAGTAACCGCCGTGGATGTTGAATGTCATAGCTTCAAATCCGTACATTTTGGCCCTTTTTTCAACTGATTTGAGCAATTAAGATCTGAATTTGGGAATTGGAATTAGAAACCGAACCTAGAGATGCAGATTTGGGAAATTTACTTTTCTTTGGGGGAATATGTGGCAAGAGAAGGGGAAGCCGAGTCTGGAAATTACAGTTTAGATGAGAACGAACGAGATCTACGTCGTTATATGTGGTCTTGTGAGATTGCGGAACAGTTCTCAAAATATGTACTTTTTGGGTAAACTATAACATTGACACCTAACTATTTCCCTTTTTCATTTTTATCAAAATTTTTGAAATTTTATAAATCAAGTCACCAACTATTTAAATGCATTTAATCAAATCACTCACTGTTAACATTTAATGGAAGTGGTGGCATGACAATTAATAATTTGGTATAGTTATGTATTTAATCTTCATTATTTACACATTCTATAATGGTCATAATTTTAAATTAATTTAATAAATTTAATCATCAAATCATATGATGATACGTGTCACAGTACAATTGGATGACTTTTTTAATTTAAATTAAATTTAACTAAAGTATCTTTTTTTTCAATCACCGATTAAAAGGAAAATAATTCGTAAAGAAAAAGCTTATGTAGGGAATCAGACCTAAGTCATTGGTTGCACATATAACACCCCAAAATCGATTGGGCCTAAAGTTTCTTATCAGGATACCGAGACAACCACTAGATTTAAAAACTTTTTTCATTTCCATTTAAAACATGATATATTTTTCAAACTATGCATTCATAAACATTACAAAATACTTTTACATATTAGAGCTTCGTGACATAATTTAAATCAAATAATACAACTAAACGTTTACAAATCCAAATACATAAGTAAAGGTCCTATGCATACACATGCCCACTAAAAGTAACAGTACAGTACTCTAGAAGGGATTCTAGAAATATTACTGCAATAGTGCTCCTCGAATGACTCAAACTACTAACCGGTGAACGAAAACATCTGAACGTTGAGCTTACAAAGCCCAACAATATAATCGTTAATCTAGAGCATGATTATGAGTATCATAAACATAAGCATGCTATAAGACATGGTAATAAGTAGTAGATATATGTATGATCAGAATCAAGTGTTATCTACTTAAAGTTCAATCGTTCTATCTTTAAAATATAAGCCTTACGCTTTCCTTAGTCTTATGCTAAGGGCCTCGCTATGAGTATACATATATTGGGTCTTTAACCATAACATCATATCGCTATGCATCATCAATTGCAACACATGATCATCATACAACACAATGGGGCTACCTGGTATCACAATCTTTCAGGCACTAAACACAATAAGGGAACCCGGTATCACATAAGATTTGGTAAAATTCTCACCAAACATACAAATAATCTCCTGATCCTCACCTAACCTTTAGGTAGATCATGAAGGGAAATCCGGTGTCACATCAACCTCGGTATAGTTTTTGCTCAAACATAGTATTGGCTCGGTATCACAATAGTAGTCAAGTCAAACATCATGTATATCAATTACATAATATCAATGCAATCACACATGCATGCTAAGGTGCCCATAGGCCACACACATCAAACAATACCACACAAGGCAAACAAGATAGCTCAACTACTCACTATAATAGTTCAACACTAATAGGTGAGGTCGTTCCCTCACTTGCCACTATCTCGCTCGTCTTCTCTTCTAGAATGTTATACAAGGGTTTAGTAGTCTTTACATCTAGTAGTTCACTTGATCACTATATTCTGGTGTAGTTCACTTGATCATTATATTCTGTCCAATTAACACCCAAT